GCGCAATGATGGTGCCAACTTGGGCCAGTGAAGCAACGTCCTCCACAACAAGACTGAAGAACAAAACGACAGCAACTTGTCTGTTCTCCTTCCCCCAATTCCCCAGCACTGTTCCCAACCCCCCAATTCCCCAACAAAAATCTTAAAAAAAAAAAAAGTGCAATCAAAAGACACAAAAATGAGAGCACTTAGTATCGAAGCTATAGTCTCAGATTTAATCAACCCCAGCCAGATATTAAATGCCCTAGTACATTACATGCCCTAGCAATCTTGTATTACCCAGAGGCCCTGAGAAAAGTGAAGAATCACATTGTCAGATAAAAACAGTACCTAAAATCACATTTCATTTTGGATTTATTTACTTAAGAAATATCCTTATCATCATTTTAAACATAGGTTCATTTTATTTAAATTTACTTAGATCAAATTTTAGATATATTATATGAGAAATTAGAAGATTTAAAAAAACAAGGCTGAAAGCAAATATGGATTCCTGAGGCAAAGTTCTTTTTTTTTTTCTTCTTCTTTTTTTTTTTTTTTTTCCATGAAGTCTATAAAGCATTCAAAGGCCCTTGGGACTGGGGCTGGAAATGTTAGCTGTCCATCAAAATCTGATCTCCCCTTTTCCACAGTGATAGAGTTGTAGCTGGAAACCTGATTGCTCAGCTGGAGTAAACCCCACACTTCCGTGGAGTTAGGGGTGGCCATTTGATGAAATGTTCACCAATGGGATATTAGAACCACTGTGTGCCTGCCACCTCCAGGTCTGGGCTTACAGCCTTCATATCTGTCCATGTTTCTGTTTTTTCTCTTTCCTGCGTAGGGATAAAACCTACATATGGAGAAGATGGAGCTTCTCCCACATAGATGATGACCGGCAGGCAGCTAATACCGGTGGTGATGTGAGAGAGAAAGCAACTTCCTTGTTCTTTAATACAGTGTATTGTTGGATCTCTTGTTAAAACAGTTTAGCTATCACTAATGAACACACATCACCTAACACTTCAATGAGGACCAAATTGTCCAAAGAGGGCCCTGATTTCCAATGAAATCCTGTCCTGCTAGAGATCTCTGAGACTGGTGAGGAGTAAGAAAGCCTCGTCAGGATTCCTAGTGGGATAAGAGGTGGTGTCCAGCTTCAACGAAAGGGAAAAGGGCTGCTCTGAGTCCTACAGAACAAGAAGTCCACGCAGATTTGCAAGGAAATATTTGAAACAAGAAATTGTTGATTCAAGATACACAAACAGCTGTAATCAATGAATACAAGCAGTTAAAAAAGGGAAAAGTGACCTGATACAGTAAAGAGGAATTAAGTCATTTGAAATTCAAGTGTGCTGCTATTGCTAGGTTTGTGACTTTGGATACTGTGGTCTGTTTCTCCACCTGTGAAATGAGAGATTTTGATGGGATGGGCCTTTGAAAAGAGTAGAATTTTGCTGAGCTCATAATGTTAGTTAGCTAATAAATGCTTATTACAAGAACAAGTCACCTAAACCATAACTCTTTCTGTAAACTTTGATTTTTGTATGTACATAGGTGTATATCTATACTATAGAATCATAGCACAATTTTCAGTTATATGAAGAATACTAGCAAAATGGTGTTACACTGAAATACAGTGCTAATACCAGTTATAACATTCCATGTGAAAAAAAATCTTTACTCTTTAGAACACCACAGGAGACAAACTTCCAAGAAAAATATGAAAACCATTTTTTTTTTTGTCCTTTAAGCTTTCCATTAATCTGGTCTGATCACCTAAATCCTCTCAAACAATCTTAGCCCAAAGTCTTCAAAAGCAGAGGTGAGACTACTGACAGGTTAAACGGACAGAACACGTTCAATACCTCTATTACTATATATATTTAAACTTGGGGGTGGTTTCCAGACCTTTGAACGCGTGGATTTACATATGAAGCATCCCTCACCCTAATTTAAAAAACTCAACTAAAGTTACTTTATTAGAACTGATGCAGGGTTATTATCATGACCACTATTGCGGTTAAAACCTTAACGAACCTGAATTGTAGGCACTGGACAAACTATCTAATTAAACACAGTCCTCCCTCCGACAACCTCCCCATGCACAACTGTGTACCCCCAAATCATAGTTTTAAATACCCAACAGCAGTCCAAAAGATACTTGGGTGACGGCTAAATCTAAACTTCTACACCCTTTGTTAAGACAGTGTCAGGTCACTGTGAAGAGCTGAGGTGAGAGCAACCCTAGAGTGGTATCAATGTTAATTCATACTTTAAAAACAAAATGTCAAAAGAAACCACGAATTTTTTGGAAAGGATGAATCACTGAGTAATATTTGCATTAATTATAAAATCAGGTTTTATTTCAAAAATTTGAAATTACAACTAAGCCTTTGGAGCTGAAGGATTAGGAAAGACCAGGGAAAGCCCCTTGTCCCCCCCAGCTGCCCCAGCCCTTCCTCTCACTTTCCCTTTATATAGTTCTGTGCTTTTGAGGAAGGACTTTAAAACAGAAAGGGAGACGCGGGGCTGACTGGTGAGAAGGTGCACCAAAGCTCTTCATCTCTCTCCCCCAATGGTGAGGTTTTCAGAAAAAATTTCCCAGCACAAAAGAAAAATAGAAAAGGTAGCTAGCAAGAAATAAAACATCTTCTCCAGTGAATTGTTTGCCTTTCTCACATGAGAGGCATAGGGTTATAACTGGCTAAGTTCTGTATATGTGATGAGTTCTATATGACACGCCTAATGGATTATTTTCTGCACATACATGGCAATCCCACCACTGACATCAAAGGCCGGCATAAGGAGTTCTTAGTGAAGGCAGAAAGACCAAGGCCACAGGGCTGGACCATTAAGGATGGAGACAGGGGCACGCCCCTCCTTGTAACTGGGGAAATTTTGTAGGATCAGGTATATTCACAATTTTTTACCACGGTAAGAAAACGTATTCTCTTTATTCTACTAAGTTTCATTTAAAAAAAAACAACCCAAACTTTTCAAACACATTAAAATAATTTCATT